TCTTAACACCCTGATGACATGTACCAAATATGGGTGAAATCGGTTCACAACCACGCCTGAAATCTCGATTATCACTTTATCATGCGAGAGTATAACATGTTCGGTGACACCYGAACTTAGCCCTTAGTTACTTGTTTTATGTACATTTATGAGTACGTGAGTAAGCAAATTAATAATCGCACATTTTCCTAAAGATTACCTCACATAGTATTTTAATCTTCCTTTTAATGGAAAGTTAGGGCAATTTATAATTGTGAATACTACGTTAATTATCCAAAATATATATTTATACTCATGCATTGATAAGGGAAAAAAATAATATAACGGAATGTTGTAATTAGGAGATATGCACATATTTACATATATGAGTTAAATAGTGTATACATAAGTAAATACCCAGAAAAAAAAAACATTAATAATAATAGATTATCGATTCTGCAGAGATTCGGAACTAAAAAGTTCTTAAGTGCCCATTCACATACAACTTTTCTCGCTTTGCTTGGCAGTCCATACTGAAACAAGGAACACAAAAAACAAAGGGTATGCCACAATGAATGCTTTCGGAGTTTTTCTGTAACTAAAATGGCGACGTTTCCTTTTCAAAGCGTAAAAAGATAAACGTTGCCCAAAATTTTGCTTGGCTTTGCTTTTGCCAAAAGTTTTTCTGAGATCGTACTCATATAAAAGCGTACATCGAACTTTTCTGTCAAAAGAAATGACTGACGCAAAGCTAGCGAAAAATCCTTACTGAATTGGTCATAAGAGATTAAGATACAAATGTCGCCTATCTCACACATTTAAACGAAAATTCTTCGTTGTTATGTTCAGTGTACAATTTTATTTTTGTGAAAACAAAAAAAAAAAAACCCGACTTAAAAACTTTTAGGCGTAAAATTATTGTATTTGTACTATACTTCCATAAAGACATATTTTCTGCCAAACTAAATCCTAAAAAAGTATCTAGGTCTAATCTTAAAAACTAAGGCCTAACCGCAAAACGGCGCGTGTATAAATTTAACAGATTTGTGACAATGATTACGTCCAAAGTCTGACAGAAAAAGCTTTCGTCTATAAACTCATTCGCTGAATCAACAATGGTTTAATGCAAAAAATATGCGAAATCGCTAAACGAAGTATCCCAATTATTCGATATGTAGTTAAGGGGAGAAGGTAAAAATTATAAAACGATTTAAAATAGAAACTACTTATATTGAAATAAATTTTGTATTTTGGGTATAACTGGGAGTTGAAGCCATTATTTKATACTTCTAGTAGCTGAAACTTAAAATTGTGTCTGATATGATTTAGTGAATTGTAATCAATAAAAAACTCAATTCAGAAATTTTCATTAATTCGTTGTGCTGTATTTTTGTTAAGGTACCCTAGTAGACTTTATGCCGAATATGTGGGCAGTTTCTAAGTAATGTTCATAAGACCACCCTTGAAAAGTGTTGCCCGGTACACTTTAGTAAGGTTAAAAGTCAAGACAATTATTTCATACCTTGCTCTAACCCAGATACATTCTAAATAATGGTATCCGACTTTCGTTCTGACATTAAGTCGTTTATGTTGATGATGATAGGAGGAGTATAAAATATTCGATTGCCCCGAACTTAGCCCTTCCTAACTTTTTTATCATACACTCCCGGAAATAATTCCATTTTTACCATAACTTTTTACGGTTACTTCTTTCATTTTTAATTTCATTTTATGTAAGATCAGTAAATGAGAGTATTGGTTGRAAATTCTATTGCAAACGATGTTTAACTAGTTACAAATCAGATAAATGCTTATAATCACAATTTTAATTAATTTATTATGAATATAAAATTAGTATTACTAATTATTGTAATTCATTATTTTTTGTTATCTATTTTAGCCACTATGTTCAAAGCTGTAAAAATCAAGTCAAGTAAGTAAATAAAACTAATTAAGAAGAATTTTAACTAAAAATAAAAGTAAATTGAACCGTAAACTATTTTCGAAGTTCGTAATGACTGAACTTAGCAAAATAAGCAGGATATTAAAATTTACATTAATATTTGGATTACGGTACGTTGTTGAACGAATTCAAAATTGATCGTTGTTGTTTTTGTAGCAGTATACAAATTTTTAAAAAGTTTAAGGGTCTGCTGTCCAGTTGATAGTTCGTGAACAGACTATCATCGACAGCGGTTAACCGAGTT